GGACTCTGACCTGCCCTCCAAGTTTACCGCCTTGTAGGCTGCGGCTCTCTTTGAGGTATCCGAGGGTGACGGGAGTGAAAGTGCAGAGCCTGAACCTCCCCCTTCTTGGAGGAGTGCGACACGGACGGAACTCGATGGGTTTTGCACCGTGTCGAATGCAGCAGACAGGTCCAAGAAGGATGATGACGAGAGAGGGAGGCTGCTCTTAGCAGTGCTGCAGTTCCTCCAGAGACGACGCCAGCGGCGAGCAGCCTCTGTTCTCGTTGAGTGACGCCTTGAAACCAGACCTGGTTGGCCGGATCCAGAAGGTTGTTCCTGATGGAGATAACAGGGAGTTGTCGTTAACGACAGAGGCGCACCGGCGGCGCGTTGCAAGTGTTTTTAGAAAGGAATGGGAGGAGACTGAAGACAGGCCTGTAGTTTAGTACAACATCAGACGGGTTGAGAGGGATCTTCTTTAGGACAGAGGGGTTTACTCTTGCCTCCTTGAGACGTTTGGAAAGTGACCAGAAGTTGAGAAGTGGTGATGAAAATGGGTGGAGAATTGGTAAATATCAGGCGAGCCGATAGTTGAAGGAGGTTTGAGGGGATTAGTCAGACGGACCAGGTGGTAGGGCGGGGCAAGGTAGTGAGGGGTAAGAACCTCCCCTTGGAGACGAGAGGGGAGAAGGAGGTCAGCTGTGTGGGTGAAGCGGAGGGTCTGGTGAATAAAAGTGAGTCGAACAAAGAAAAGCGAATAATCATCACCTTTTTTCAAAGTGGTTAACAAGTCGCTTGAAAGAAGGGAGGGAGGGGGAAGGGTTTTTTGGGGGTTTTAAGAGGGTGGAGAAGATAGAAAATAGTTTTTGGGGATTGGAATAGGAAGAATGGATCTTATCTTGAAAGAAAGTGCTTTTTGCCTGAGAGATCGAAGCAGAGAAAGAGGAGAGGAGAGCCTGATAGGTTAGGAGGTCGTCACGGTGTTTGGATTTCCACCATTTCCGCTCAGCTGCCCGAAGGATGGTTCTATGAGCACGCAGTGCGTCATTTAGCCAGGGAGCAGGAGGGGACTGACGAGCCTTCAGAGATGTGAGAGGACGGAGAGAGTCCAGAGAGGATGAGAGAGTAGAGAGGAGAGTTTCTGCAGCAGAGTTTGGAGGCAGGAGTTGGAACGAGTCAGAGGAATTGGAGGGCTGAGAGCACCGATGAGGCAAAGGTAGAGGGGGAGAGGGCACGGAGGTTGCGGTGGACAGGTGCAGAATAAGAAGAGATTAGTTTGCTATGTTTGGAAAGGGGTAGAGAGAATGAGATGAAGAAGTGATCGAATGTGTGAAGAGAGGTTACAGAGAGGTTAGAAGTAGTGCAGTTCCTTGAGAATATGAGATCAAGGACATTGCCAGCTTTATGGTGGGGATGGAGACAGTGAGAAAGCAAAGGCGGTTAAAAGAGATGTTAGTTCAGATATCTTCCCTGTCTGGAGGTTGAAGTCTCTGAGAAGTACAGCGGGAGGGCCAGTTTCAGGGATGTGTGAGAGGAGATGATCTAATTCCTTCAAGAAGTCCCCCAAGGCGCCTGGTGGACGGTAGAGAACAACAATGGTGAATTGTATAGGATCGTTTATTGTTACAACCCGGCTCTTGCGCTGTAACAAAAAGCTGGGAGGCGAGATGAGGGTCTGAAAATAATAACAATCCTTTATTTTTAGTTGGACACCAAAACAAACAGCCGCGACACTAAGACTCACACGGGGAATGTGCGAGAGGAATGATGAGAGAGAGACGTATTCGGCTGGGCTCTCTTCTGATAGCCTTTTCGTCCCGTGATGCAAGCTCATCAGGTAACTGCCGGCCCCACAGCACCGGATCCTGTCAACCAAAGAGAGAGAAGATGCACCTCCGAATCGCCTAGTGGGGTGTGGAGGGGTCGTCACAGTTACTGTGACGGCATGGAATTCAAAGTGGAAAGGAGTGAAGTAGGTAGCTGAAGAGGGAAAAGCTTCATTTGGGAGAGAGCAGGAGACCAGTGCCACCTCCTCGCCAGTGGGTCTGGTGTATGGGTGAAGGAATATGCTGTGGGGAGAGCTGCCTGGGTGGATGTGTTGGATTGAGTAATCCAGGTCTAGGGATGGGTATCGTTTGAAATGTAATCGATTCCGGATTCCGGTTCTGCTTATCATTCCCGGTTTTTATCGATTCGCCCCTTTCGATTCCAACATTGTAAAAGAAAGAGGTCAAACGTTAGATAACAACAGATATCTTTATTCATTTAAGTTTTAACTGCATTTTTACAAAATAAAAAATATACATGCAATACCAAATGTATTGCCACAATAGCTGGCTATCGCCTGTGGCAAGCTATTAACAGGCATTACATTGGCCTTTGTCTTTTTTCTTTTTTAAGTGTAAGTGGGGGGGGGAGCGCTCCACTTTAGAGCGTTTACGCGAATCCATCTTTGGTGGTTAGTGACTGAGCTCGTGAACTGTCTACGGGAGTGCGGGGGGAGCCCCGCTGCGGGGCAACTGTGGACCTCTGTCGCCTGGTCAGCGCACTTCCTGATGCCAGTTTAAAAAAATGAAGGGCGGTGCCGGCCGCCAGCGTACCTACCGCAGCCGGGCNGCTTTGGGGGGGTCCAAGAGGGTGGAGAAGATAGAAAATAGTTTTTTGGGATTGGAATAGGAAGATTGGATCTTATCTTGAAAGAAAGTGCTTTTTGCCTGAGAGATGGAAGCAGAGAAAGAGGAGAGGAGAGCCTGATAGGTTAGGAGGTCGTCATGGTGTTTGGATTTCCACCATTTCCGCTCTGCTGCCCGAAGGATGGTTCTATTAGCACGCAGTGCGTCATTTAGCCAGGGAGCAGGAGGGGACTGACGAGCCGGCCGAGATGTGAGAGGACAGAGAGAGTCCAGAGAGGATGAGAGAGTAGAGAGGAGAGTTTCTGCAGCAGAGTTTGGAGGCAGGAGTTGGAACGAATCAGAGGAAGGGAGGGCTGAGAGCACAGATGAGGCAAAGGTAGAGGGGGAGAGGGAACGGAGGTTACGGCGGACAGGTGCAGAATTAGAAGAGATTAGTTTGTTATGTTTGGAAAGGGGTAGAGAGAATGAAATGAAGAAGTGATCGGATGTGTGGAGCGGGTTTACAGAGAGGTTAGAAGTAGTGCAGTTCCTTGAGAATATGAGATCAAGGACATTGCCAGCTTTATGAGTTGGTGGGGATGGAGACAGTGAGAAAGCAAAGGTGGTTAACAGAGATGTTAGTTCGTCTATCTTCCCTGTCTGGAAGTTGAAGTCTCCGAGAAGTACAGCGGGAGGGCCAGTTTCAGGGATGTGTTAGAGGAGATTATCTAATTCCTTCAAGAAGTCCCCCAAGGCGCCTGGTGGACGGTAGAGAACAACAATGGTTAATTGTATAGGATGGGTTACTGTGACGGCATGGGATTCAAAGGTGGAAGGAGTGAAGTTAGGTAGTTTGAAGAGGGAAAAGCTCCATTTGGGAGAGAGCAGGAGACCAGTGCCACCTCTTCTGCCAGTGGGTCTGGGTGTATGGGAGAAGGAATATGCTATGGAGAGAGCTGCTGGGGTGGATGTGTTGGATGGAGTAATCCAGGTCTCAGTGAGAGCAAGGAAATCCAGAGACTGCAGGGAAGCGTAGCCAGAGATGAAGTCGGCCATCTTCAGTTCCAATATTCACTCTCCTATTCGCTCTGTTTTGGTCTCCACCAACTTTTTGGAATGATGTCTACTAGGTGCTACTTCTTCAAATTTCTTCACCAGCTTGTCACTTAGTCTGTCTGTTTGCTGTTTGTAGCTTAACAGACAGCTTACAGTGAATTTTTAAAAAACATTTAACAACAGCTTTTGCTCTTGCTGTAAACGAGGTTAATTGAAATAGTGAGTGTGAACAAAAACAGTACATTTGTGGGCCAAAAAAAAAACAATGGGCTGAAACATTCAATCAAGGCGAACTCACAGCTCTTTAGACAGCTACTCCTTACATATGATTTCTCACCAGAAATCACACGTCTGAAAATAAATCCACTGTGTGTTATGGAGTGTTCAAGGAGACAATAATTCACATGGACAGCTAGGGTTGAAGCAGATGTGAAGTGTCTTTAGGCAAGACACTGATGGGTTTCTTGTCAAGAACAAAGAAAGGGGTGGACAGTGCATGACACGTACCAAATGATATTTTCTTGAGTTTGGCAATTAAACAATTAAACTTTGTCATTTTAACTATACAGTATGTACAGATGGAGTTACAGAGCTAACAAAGCAACAAAAAACACAGCTTTCTACAAGTGTTCATCACAATACATTTAAGCTGAATTTGGCAAAAATCCAAATCCATTTCATGATAATGGCCATGTGCAGAGTATCAACATGCATGTTACAGTTCTGTTTCTGGGAAATGTATCCAAGATGGCCACGTATTGTCCTCCTTTCTTCGCCCTTCTTTGCATTCGCTGCCAGCAGGGATCTTTTTTTGTGGTGATTCCACAGTTAACTTTCCTCTAGTTGTTGTCATCTTCTTTGGTGTGCCTCAAATCGATTCACCTTTTATTTCCCGGAGAATGCAACTCTTAGGCAGACAAAATTGCACAGTGAAAGCAAGGCCCATAAGAAACCAATCTGAACTCTGATGGTGTCATTGTTCTGTAGCTATTACACTGTAAAATCAGCATCTACTTTATAATTATGGCTTAAAGTAAATAGGTTGTCTATTGCCACTTTAACTCTTATATATAGGGGGAATATTTTGTTTAAATCAGCCAAAAGAAAATTAGTAATCAGAAGCATTCTTTGACTGTTATTTCACAAGGCTGTTAAATGGTAACAATGTGTAATGGTATTGAGGTTGTATGGAGAGTTAACTGTAGCCCATGTGAATCCACTTGGTGTACAGTCAGCTGCTTGTGACAGCAGGACACCATATGGCATTTGCACTTTCATTTCCTCCCTTTTTCCATTTGTCTGTTCAATTGCTTTATTACCCAAGCAGGCACAATCTTTCAATATCTGGCAGAAACAAGACAAGCAGTCCATCTCATCAGAACACAAGCCCACGCAGCCACCACACTCCCAGGATGCATTCTGTCATCTGCTTTTGTACACAGCCACTCTTACTGTCTCTACTCTTCAGGGCTGTAGGAGAGGGTACGTCAACAGCCTGCTGAGGAAGTATATGATGAGCTGTGATGTTAAATAAGTACATGAAGGAAGAATATGCCACCCTTGGCAACGTATTATTCTGGCTGATGTCACCTTCATCCGATTTACAATGAACGCTGCATCGGTA